GCTCCGTGGTTGAAGTCTGAGGCTGGTTGTCCTGAGACCGTTGGGTGAGGTGTGCATGGGCTAATGGCAGAACGTTTTCAGCAAGTTCCTTAAAACGTAGAAGCAGTTGATGGACTAGGAAATCTTTCTACCTCATTATAGCTTGAGCAAGGACAAGTGAACAAATCGTGCTTTCTGGGGTTGGGCTGAGATGGAAGGTGCCATGAGAAAATTTCTGACGGAGGAACCAGTGATGCTCATTTTCTTTTTCTTTCCAAATAAGCTGAGTGTGCGTTCAGCTTACACGTGTTCCTCACCAACTCTCACAACCTGCACAGAAATTTGAGCGTCTTTGGCCTGGGTTTGCCCACAAATGACGAGCAGTGACCATCTATGTAGTAGGTAGCAACAGGGGAGCAGAACAGAAAAATACTGTGTGCCTGCTAGATACAGAGGATGCTGTAGCAGCATTAATGGCTGAATGAAAAAGCAAAAATCCCAGCTCTGTCTTTGCCTTACAGCTGAACACCTTTCCCTTGAGGCTGCAGGATGGTCATCTCAGCCTGTCCCATAGGATTGTGGAATAGTTGTTTCTGATTTTACCTCTTGCTCTACTTATGGAAAACAAACTTCAGCGCTAGGCTCACATTCAGTTCCTGAAGTTTAGCTCTTGCGATCTAAATTAGACCTGCCCAGGGTGTTTGAGAGAGACTGCAGTGGAAACTTGTTTAGAGGGAAATGGGGAGAGCTGGAGCAATGTCAGATTGTGCTGGGAAAAGCTGCTTCATGTGGGATGTCTTCAAGGGGCAATTACAAAAATAACACTCGCTGTCAGCTGATAGAGCAGAGCAGTGAGTGGGTAATAAATACAAAAATCTGCTTTGTGTTCCAGCATCTCAAGATGTAAAGCTTTTCTGTTAGAAGTTTGTATGGAGAATGGTAATCTAGAACAGCTACTCTCCCGAACAGCTTGTAGCTACATTTTAAAAAAAGTATATATATTTTACAATACTATTTATATCAATGAAAGAACTTCTGGACTGTCAGAAGGTGTGCAGGCATCTAGATCTTGCTCTTTCTCCCCTTCTTATGGCTGCTTGATGGGGAACGTTGTGCAATTCATGTACAGAATGTGTATTTTAAGGCTACCTGCTGAAATTCCATTGAACTGAGAGGTGGTGTTCCAGGACTGACTGAGAACAAACACAAGATTAGACTCTACAAGTTTCCATCCTTCTCTTGAGAAATGTTGTTTTCACATCTTGGGTGAAATGAACTTTTTTCCTTAACTGGCAAATGACCTGTGAAATTGTTTCATATAAGCAGTTACAGTTTGCAGTGGATTTAAACTCCATTTTAGTCCACTCAGCATCGTGTTCTTGCCTCGCAAACCGTTGAATAGATAATTTGATTAATTCTATTTATCATCTTGAGGTTAGATTTGGCAAGCAACATCTGTAACATGCCACCATGAAAAATTATTTCCAACATGTTCTTCATTAAACTTTTCTTCAATATTTGGCTGTCACTGGAGGATTACAGGTTTTTTTCTGAAGAATTAAACAAAAAAAAAATGCAATGAAAAGAGACAGTCATTAGTTCTGTATTAAAAACCTTTGAAGTACCAAGGTATGAGAGTTGTTTTGATTTACATGTGTGTCTGTTTAGCAGTGCATGAAGAGAAAATATCAGTTCTTTCCTTGCTAGCTTGCTGAAAAGTATGAAACACAAACTGACAACAGGAAAGGATAGAAAGAATTTGGTTTTAAACATCAGTTTGAATGAAATGCAGTGAATGAAAGCAGAACTGATGTTTCCCCTGTATTTCCAGGGATATTTTCGTATGTCTTAGTTCCAAAGTGCTCTCTCTTTTATTAGAGAAAGAGTTTAGTTTCAGCTTGAAAAAATATCACATCACATTCATATACAATGCCTTTAATTCAGATGGATCTTGGAGACTCTTAATAGTATATCACACAAACTAGCTTAATTTCAGTATTGCATATCACTAAATGGAATCTGCCCATCGAGAGGCTATGTGTGCTGACCCTGCAAAAGATAAAACCGGGAAACAAAAAAATAATGCAGTATTCAGTTTAAGCTGCTGTGGAAATTTGAGCAGGCAGCATGTTCTGAGGAATTAATTTTGGATAAAGGCTAATCTGCCACCTACCTCTGCGGTTGCTGGAGAGAGGGGCTGCTTCTCTTAGCAACTCTAAGCAGGGTCCTGATGTAGGTAGTATGAAATGCTGTCTGGAAGGAACCCAAGACCCTCTCCTTTTACTGTACAAGGAATCTGATAAGAGTCAATGCCCATACCTGCGATTAATCTGTATGAATACCTACAATTCATTGTGTAATAAGTTTGTCAGCTTGCACCTTTTGCTCTGGGCCATTAACAAAGAGATCAGGATTTAGTTGCACAAATAACACAGAGGAGCTTATGCCTACAAAATATATTTCTGTTTTTACCATCAAAAAGCAAAATTACAGAGAGAGTTTCAGGTTGGTTAGCTGTACGTGTGCTTGAGAAACAACACCGTATTTTTGAGAGATGGTGTATCCTTGATAAAAATTTTTAGTCTGCTTGATCAGAATAAATTGTTCATGTTTCTGTGTTGGGAGCAAGGAGAGCATTTACAGCATTCGGCAACCTTAATATTTCAACGTATAGAAAAAAGGTATGGAAAGCTAACTCTTGGTACCTTTTCAGGACGGTGATAGCATCACAAATCCCTCTGTGAAAGTCCCAGTTGCTTGGTGGGTCATGCAGGAGGTGAGCACCCTCACCCCTTCATGGGAGGTGCTGGCCTTTGTTTAACAAACCTCTCCCATAACAAACCAGGGCTGTGCACCCAGATTGAATTGCAGCTTGGTTGTGCCCCTTGTCTGCCTGCTTCTCCCCAGGTTGTTGAATTTGTGCAGCTGGGACATGCAGCAAGCCCCTGGCTGGTGGCTTCCCATGTACCTACTGCGGCAGCCTGGTCCCCAGAGCTGTCAGGGTCTGCCGTACCTGGGTGGCTGTGCCCGTGGGGAGCCATCTGGGCTGCAGCCGCAGTATGTGCTCCGTGTCCTAGGTCAAACCTGGTCGGCTGTGCCCCATCGTGCTGCGTCAGGCAGAGCCGGGGCTGCTGGTGGGGAAGGACCGTGCAGGAGTGGGAGGTGTGGGCAGCAGGATGGAGTGCATTAGGAGCATCCAGGGATGAGGGGAAGGAACCTGCTTTGGAGTTCAACAATGGTACCAATGCTCTGCCCAGCCTGCCAGCCAGGTGCTGCTCCTACAGCACAGTGGGCATCCGCCTGTCCTGTCAGCTTCTGCCATGAGACCCCAGTAGGCTGCTGTCGGGGGACCCACTGATGCAACGGGACCCTACAGCAGACAGCGTTGCTGCCTACGGCAGCGGGAAGCCCTCTGCAACACTGGGGTCTACATGGTGCCATCCACCGAGGTGGATGCGATGTGCTTGGCTACTTCCCGTGCCCAGACAAGGCGCAGCTCTCCTCCAAGGAGTTCCCTCCATGTGTTCCTCCCTCCCCAGCACACTGCCAGTTTTAATCATGCTTCGGCACCGTTCATCTCGGGCACATGCCAAGTGCCCTGCGTTCCCACCGGAAAACAAAAGTAGCGAGGCCAGCAATGGGGGGGGACGGGGGATAAAAAATAAGTAAAGGCCAGAGTGACTTCAGAAAAAAGATACATAGAGGAAGGGAATAGCAAATGCTGCTGGTTAATTGAAACTGTCCTCATACAGAGAATCAGTCTCTCTTTTCATCAAGTAGTAGGAGAAAAGAAAGCTGCTTGATACATCTTGTGATCAAGGAATTAAGCCACACATCTCTGAAACTTGCAGGAAGAGAAGGAAGCCAGAGCTCATTCAGTCAAAGCAGAAGCTGCATCTAGAGAAGAAAGAGTTTGCTTGAAGATAATTTTCTTTGAATAGTAAAAATTACCATTCCAAAACATTTGGGTTTTTTTCAGTATTTGTTTCACCTGACATTTTGCCACTGTGTACATTTATATGTGTGTGTGTGTGTGTGTGTGTGTATATACACACACACACACATATAAAGATAAATTAGAAAAGTAGACTATTTGTTTGTGCTGTTTGTTTGTACACATGACATGGGAATAGTTTCTGTCATGCTGTTGTAGCTTGGGAGCAATTCACGGACAGGGTTTTCCAGAGAGCAGCACTTGAAGAACCGGCACAGCTGTACTCTCATCTTGCGTGCAGGCATTTCACCTCACCAGCCAGGAGACATTGCTAATCTAGGTGTATTTTCATAAAACAATTTTGGGCTTCCCTTTACGTCTGGGGTGGATGGGGTTCTGTTCTAACTTCAGTGCCTGCCTGAGTGTTGTTTGTGAACATCTGGGAGCTCCAGGCATGGGAGAATTGGCGCCTGTGCTTAAAACCTGCTGATAGCTGTTGTTTGTTTAGGTGTTGTCTGAGTGTGTGAATGTGGAGCTGTTTGCTTCATAGAGGTGGCTGAGTGAAGCAAACAGTGAAGTTAATATAGAAATTAAGCTTCAGTGCTGAGACCATGTTAATTTTTCACAGAGTGTTCTGCTCAAGTGGTGCAATGGGCTATTTCTTTGGTTGCATCTATGTTCCCGTTACAGTAGTTGTCTGAACTGTTGTTGTAAGGGCTAATACTAAGTACAATTTTCTGTGAATACTACAGCTTCTGTGATGGAAATGTTTTACTGGACAGTGTACTTAAGTTATCGCTTCACCTGCTATTAAAATCATACGTAGTATGAAAACCCATAAGTTGTTCGAGGACAGTAGTGTTACCCAGCAGTGCTTCTGAAAATCTTAACAATTGCCTACCTGTCTAAGGGGAATGTGATCAGATAGCAATGTCCTGAATTGAAACAAATAGGCTTAATAGAAAGCTTTAAATACAACAAGCGGTTTGCATTTTTAAAGATTTTTTTTCTTTGTTTGTGTAGAGGTGTTTACATTCCCTGGAAGAGTGAAATGCATTTAACCAACAATGTGTCTCTTCTCTCTTAGATTACAGAAGTTTGTGGAGCCAAGCGCGTGGGTTATTTTGGCCCTGCTCAATTTTATATTGCTTTGAAGTTGATTGCGGCAGCGCAGTCAGGGTTCCCGGTACGGATTGAGAGCATTAAGAATGGTAAGTAGCAAATTTTCCTTGCGGCACTATGCACTTGTTTCTCACCTTCTTTAATGCTTGTCAGCTCTCCGTGGTGGTAAACTTTTTCTTCTAATGTGTCTGTGAAACAATTGTATTTTGAGGTGCAGGAGGAGAGTAGAAGGTAGTGTTACATTCTCTAAATGACTGGTAGAAAATTGTAGTGAATTACATGTATGGCAAAGCTGAGATGGCATTCCCCTCTGGAAAAGGCATTACCAAAGGAATGGCACGAGTGACAGCTGATCAGTGCTGGGAATGCATTTTTCTTTCACCTTCAGCCTCTAATCTTGACAGCTGTCCAGAGTGAGAGCTGATAGCTGCTTTGGGTGGAGGCATGTTGTGGGGGATGTGGGCAGGTCACGGGTCCCCCTGTGCAGGGCAGCTTGCAACACTCATCTGTTTTAGCAAATAATTCTGCTGAAATAAATGGATAATGGTGACAGAATCATCATGGTTCCTATCAGTAGGTATGAAAACGTGTATTAGACGTAATTTAAAACAGCTTTGTTCTTCCCGGTGAATTGACAGTAATATTAAATGTACCATTTTTGATGGAGAAAAGTGCTTCTTAAAAGAGGCTTATCAAACTCAAGTGATGGAGAGAGAAAGCAGGTCCCTTTTAGCTGCGAAACCTTGATAGCAATTAAATGGAAGAAACTCAATGTTCTTGCCTTGGTGATGCATGCTCTGCCTTGCTGGTGCGCGCTCTGCCTCAGCACGGCTCAGGCTTCAAAACACGAGACTTTTTGCTTGGGCTTCAAGGTTTGCCCCCTGAGCTCCCATATCCTAGGCGGGCGTTCGAACTGTGTCGTGAGGCTGTGCTCTGAGCAAGAGTGCTTGCCACCGTCCCGCTGAAGGCAGCGGTGCGACCGTCCGCGAGATCGGAGGGGAGGTAGGAAAGGCAGGACTTACCCATGGCCTCGCAATCGGGTCGCTGCTCCCAGCGCAGTGTCTGCTCTGCTGTCCCTGCGAAGGGCAATGAAATGTAAAATTCACCTATGTTAGAAGGCAGAGGGAGGGGGTTCCCAGGTCTGCCCCATCCTGGTGGGGGGAAGCCAGGCTGGCAAACACATGCAGACCTGTGTGAGCTGAGCTCCTGCAGTGCACAGCTCCTGACCAAGTGGAGGGGGTCGGATGCAGCCGGCATGGTTTGGTTTGGTGCCTCACTGGCAGGGGAGTTTAAACCAGGGGTGAAGCGGGGCAGCCTGGGTTTGTCTGTCAGTTTTCCTTACAGACAGCTTGTGCACTCTGTCTTGCATTGCAGTCTTTAAGGATGTTAATTTGAAAAAAATCAAAACAAAACACCAACAAAACCCAACAAACTCTATTAGAAACTCAAAAATAAGTGAGATTTACTGTATATGTTTTACAAGTACAGCATCTGCAAATAAGCCACAAATTTGAGTGAAGAAGGGTACTTGCAGTCCTTGTATTGATATCCTGCTTGCTTACTGTTACCGAAATGCTTCCAGCGCTAATTACATTTTCTCTTGAAATGCGTGAGTGCCTTTAGAGTGGGGTGAGTAACATGCACAAAACTCCAATTGATTTCTTTTTCTTCCTGGTAGTAGCTGTAGGTGATTTGTAGCTGTAAGTGTAGATGATTACAGAGTGGATGTGTGGCTTTGCTAGTTTTGAGCATTCTGTTAATTTTAATTGTATTGATTTTTCAGGGTGACTGTGCACAAAAATAAATGGTGTTTCTTCAAAATAATAGTGAATTGTCTTAAAGAGTGTCAAAGTGTTGCTCTTCTGCTCTGCAGAGCAGATGTGACATGGGACCTTTTGACACAGTCGTCTCACCAGGCCTCAGCGTGATCTCTGAACCCTACCATTTTTAATTTGTTCCTTTTATGATGGCAGTGTTGTGGATACTGTGATCCTGACTGATTAATTCATCAGTTCCACAGTTTCTGTGAGAAACTATTCTTTTCATGACAGACAACGTTTTGAAGGCAGGAAATGAGTTTGCTGCTTGCTTTAATAACGTGCAGAAGGCGTATTGCTTTCTCTTTGCATGGAGAGATTATAGATTAAGCTAGTGAATGTAGCTTTGTGTAACATTCACTTTTTTTATTAAGACATAAAATAATCACAGGAGTTCCACACTTACAAACATTACAAAATATAAATAGTACTCTTCTATAGATAAACTCTTCGTTGGTTTTACAAGACAATACTGCTTAAAGTACTTCTAATGTTCTGTAGTCTCAATTGAATTTTTCTCTCTTTTAATGAAGAATTGCCTCTGCCGCGGTTTATGGCACTGAAAAATGACAGTGAAGTACGTTACGGGACTACAGCAGAACTCCATGGAGTTAAATTTCAGGTTCCACATGCAACTTTGGAAAAAAATTCCTACAAAAGAACAGATGAAGGGGACAAACAGGTAACAGGCCCGTCTCCTTCAGGCCAATGTGTCGTTATGCGTCCCCCTTTGGGATCCAGTCCTGTAAATTGATTACACTCATGTGGGCTTACTCAGTTTTGCGGTACTAGACAGGAGATGAGCTCCTGGTGTGCAAATAGTCTCCATTTGGGCTGTGCTCTGATTTTGATTCGTCCCAGTTGCATCCCTGAAAGGAATGTCTCTACACGAGTGCGTATAAAGCTGTCGGCCCTGTAACATTCTGTATAAGCTCTTTCAGTGTTGTCCTCCCACTCAGTCCAGCACTGTTTCTTGGAGAGGACTAGGGGAAGAGCAGCAAATAGAAATCTCTGTGAAACAGAACAGGAAAGCGAGCAATTTCTCGTGGCCAGTATGATCCTTAGTCACTACAGAAACATTCAATTGGAGAAGAGGTATTGAATCATGAGCCACCATTTCTGTGTAGGATAACGCCACCAGGTTTTCTTCCATTCTAGTCTCCCCCAGGAGTAGTCCAGACGAAATCTGCTTTTCTTTTGTCCTCAGTGAAACATCGTCCCAGAGTCTGTTGTTCTGAGTTGCCAATTTAATAAAGCTGTCTAAGGGAGATTTATATTACCTCTATTTAGGAGAGTTGAGAGTGCTTATTCAGATACGAGTGGCTTCACAGTACAGCCTTGATTTTCATAATTTTCCCCAGGGCTGACACCTTCTCTTCTGGTGCCATATCAGGTTGCGTTGTAAATGCCTGATGGCAGATGCTTTATCTTCCCATAGCGTGCACACACATTTATCACACAATGTGTTGGCATGAGTAATGGTGTTCCCAGCCTGAGGTCAACCAACAGGAATGAGCTGATGACAAGATACACGGGTGGAATAACAGGATGAGGAAGAAGAACATGTATGCCTGTCTGCCTGTGTGTACTGACACTGAAGCAGAACACTACCCTCAAACCCCTGGCTCCATCTAGGTTATCTCTGTTGTGTTATATTTTCCTTTTTTATTCATTGAACTGTTTCAGGATCGCATCATCTTCTCAAACAATCTGTAAGTCAAGGTAAAGACAATGCTGTAGGATAGATACCCAGTAACACCTACAAATCCAGAGAGTGCTTAAAATACCAAATTGGAGATTTAATTTAATTGTGTTTTATATGAAAAATGCTCTCCCACAAAGAATGTGCTCACCCTAACTAAACGTATTGCTTGAATTCAAAGATACCCACTCACATTCAGCATTCTACATATACTTCTTCAGGCATCTTTTGGAAGTAAAATTCCTTAAGCTGTTCACTGTAAAGCTTTGCTATGACATTGCCATGCTTTACCCCTAGAAGGCTCGATAGCAGATTCTATCTTTACAGACAGAAAAAACCTTTTGTTTTTTAAAAATCCTTTTACTGGAAATATAGAGCCTCAGGGAACTACAGTGTTTGCTTTTTCTTTGTCCATCACGCTGTATGCGTTCAGATTGCCATGCAGAATTACTTGGTTGTTTTGCTGTTGTCTCAGAATTCCATTTTTGTGTTGGTGTGTTTTTGACATAGGAACCCAAGTCTCCACCGATGTCTCCAATCTGCTCGCCTCCTGCTTCTCCATCTACTTACCAGAGAATACCCTTAAGTTATGGATATGGTAAATCAAGAACTGGGCTGGAGCAGCAGCATGGAGGTAGGATAAAAATTGGGATGTGCACATTGTATTAGATTTTTTTTTTGTTTTTTTCCTCAAAAGCATCCAGATTTCAAATTCAACTGACAATCAGCCTAATGATTTTAACATTTAATTAAACTATATTTTGGAAAACGATTCAGTCGCCTAATTTTATTTTGATTGTTCAGTCCTGTTTGTGAATATTTTCAGAGTGCATGATGCTTGTGGTTTTATTAGAGGGGAAGAAAAGCCCACTCCTGATTTCAGTAACTGCTGTATTAGTTTTGAGATTGGCAGTGAACCTTCCTTTGAAGGAAAGGATGATAATCTTTCTGGTTTTGTAATGGAAATAACAGTAGGACATGAATGTAAAAACAGTCTCACAATGTAACTTAGGCAAAACAGACAAAAATAAGGCACTACATAGATGCTCTGTCCTTGATCTCACTGCCATTAGAGTAGATGGCAAAGCATTCTGATTTCAGTAAGAGGGTAGTGGGGTGGAAGGCAGTTTTACTAGGGCTTTACAACCTCCTTGTTAATAGTAAGTTGCCTGGGTTTGCCTAATCGCAACGTCTTGTGACCAAGATGCTGGCCATAGTAGGCATTGGTGTATACCATCTCTCTCCACCATCCCTCCTGCTTTCAGTTAGTGCGTTTGCAGTGAGGAGTGGAGCAGGCTAGTCCTCTAGCTGTTGTCCTTGTTTACAGATGTGTGAAAAACCAGAGCTATTACAACATTTTGAAACTCACTACGACCATGATAAGAATGTGTTCAACACTATGAAGTGGCCTCACATGAAAAAATCATGCCAGCACTGAGTCACAGCCATTCGTTTGCTGGTTAGGTAAACTGCTGCTTGTTCAGAGAGAAGATTTTTCCCCACCCGACCCTTGGCATAACTGATCAAAACAGTGATGGTTGACTTCTGAAATAAGCAACACTATCGAGGTCGTCTTCTGGTACGACACATGTTCTGGTCCAGTGAAGAAGGCATGGCAGATAGCTCACACCCTGAAGAGCCGTGCAGGAGGCGGCCATCAGGAGCGGCCGACAGTGTTACACATCATGCGCTCTGCTGTTCTCTGGGACTCTTGTCCCGGCTCTGTCAGTGTTGCGGAGAGTATTTTGGGTGTTTGGGTTTTTTAAATTTTCCTCTGAATTTGATTGCAGTCATAACTTTGGTGAAATTTCTCATGGAGTCAGTGGCTGTGCAAAGTGGGTAGACAGAGCAGCGTCCAATCCAGTTGTCAACTTCTCCTAAAATGAGTTATTCAACTGCTTGAATTTTGAAGGTGATAAAATCCTAGAGGTATAGAACACTATGCTTATTTTCCAGAAAGGGATTCTCTCCTATTTTAATCCCACTGGGAATACTTCAAGCAAATGTGTTGTCAGTTGCAGTAAGCAGGTAACATTTTATGGCCCATGCTGTACCAAGTGCCAGGCTAGGTACCTACTGATTCTTCCTGGCCTTTAAGGTGTGGACCCTTCCAGTTTTCTGAAGACCACTCGAAAAGGTGGGTCTGAAAGCCACTGCGTTAGTGTTACGCACAGGAGGTGCTAGGGCCACGGTGCTGAGCTGGGTGGGCTGTTCTGTACTGCAGGTCTGACCCTGAAACTGGACAGTCTGTCTTCAGGAGCAGCCTTTCGCACTGCAACTGTGACTATATACCTTTTTCTTGATAGTTTTGGAAGTTTCTCTTGCTAGCAAACACGCAGCAGTGTGGCCTTGTACTTAAGTCTCTCCAAGGGCATCTGTATTTTTCCCAACTTCCTTCCCATGTTTTTTTCTGAAACTGGAAGTTACTCATACAGGAATAAAAATAGATACCAATACAGGACAAGACCACTTAGGAAAGCAAAGGAGTTAGGAGTATAATTTTTAAGGTCATCCTGAGCTTAAAATTTTTAAGTGGGTTTTTTTTTTTTTTGGTCTCACTTTTCATCAAGAATCTTTTGGGTTATGTCTCTCTAATGCAGCTTGTCTTTGTAGTGCTAAATTTTAAATAGGCTGGCAGCAGAAGTCCTCAGCTCTGTAAGGGTTTGCAAGTGAGTTACCTTTGTGTTTGCATACTTGACCTATTTTAAAACATTTTTCCTAAATGTGCTGTTAAGTCACCACTTACTGTATTTGTTGCACTGGAATGTAAGTGAATTATTTTAGCAAAAGTAGTAGTAATTGTTGCTTTTCTTTATACTAACTTTACTGCGAATAATGCGAAGTGGTGAGTCGTGTATTTTGATTTTCAACAGAAATTAGGGAAGAGGGTAGAAAAGTATATGGAAAATTGGTGATTTACTATTTGATATCATTATCAAAGCATTTTTTTTTTTTGCAGCTCAGTTGAATTATTTCTTCTTATTTGTAATGTATTCTTGTGCTATATATGGTTGTAAGTATACAAAATGTGCAAATATATAAACAGAGTATATAAATATATATTTCCACATGATGAACAGTTATTTCTGTTATCTAGTAATATATGACAGTTTCTATCAGTAACATCTGAAGACTGATGTAACATGAAAGACAAGTATGTGACTGGAATTTTGCTGCAGAAGACAAAATGGATTTTGATACTGGGTTCACAAGCTAGATTCTTTACCTTGTGGTATTTGATTATTTCCTTTAGCCAAGTAGAATCTTTCTGATTGTCCTTTCGTTTATATACTTTATTTTAAATGTCTGTAGCTCCTTATGAAGTCAGACACTCTACTCACCAGCAAGATGGACCATCATCAGGGAGTTATGGAGCCAAACCTGCACTTACCTGTTCAACTCCTAATCGGGTAATGAATTGCATGTTTTTCTTTGGTAGTACTACTAATAAAACAACAGAGAAAAAAAGGCGGAAGAATTCGCACTTCAAAAGTAAAAAGTGTTCTCCATGGTGCTTTTAGACTAGAGGCTGAAGTGTGCTTTTTTATTATATGAAAAAGAAAAAAACCAAGGCTGATGGGAAGGAGAAATTAAATTAAATAATCCAATTAATTAAACTGCTGAAGCTAAATTGTCTACATTTAGCCCATATCTGGGGCTGAACTGTAACAGTTGCTCTGTCACCTGATGACCTCTCACCAGCCAGGAAGGGGAATTGAGAAAGGGAGAGCAGACCTGTGGGTTGAAGTGAAAACAGATTTAATGAAATAGCACTACTACCAACAAAGGTATACAAGGTTATACTCGGCCCCATGAATACCCAGTGGTTGCGGTCGAAAGGAGAGCAGTCCTCAGGAGCAGGGAGAAGCCAGAGGAAGCGTGGGAGGAACCCCATAGGAGCTCCCCTTCCTCAGCAAACCTTCCCCCTTTATGATGACCATGACATTAGGGTACGGGCTACACCTGTAGCTCACTCAGGTCAGCTGCCCTGGCTGACTCAAAACTGCTGACATCCTGCCCAGCACGGCTGGGCTGTGATTCTAACCCAGCCAAACCAGGACATAAGCAGAATGAGAAGCACCAAATAGCATATATAGGAAAACTAGACTGAGAATCTTCATTAAAAAAAATTGAGGTTATCCTAGCAAAAGTAAAACATACTGATTTAAAATACATGAGGTTTCACTGAGATTCCTGCTTGATTTAGAATGCCATCTGTAACACACGCACAGAATTTATGGCCCAATATTCTGCGTGTTCTGTTTTTTTCACCCCAGTTGGTTAAATCACATCTCAAACAGAATAAATGAATTTCTGGATATTTGTTTGCTTTTATGAGATGGGTCCTATGTTTTCCTGCTGGTTGTAAAAGCAGATCTTTCTGATGTTCCAGTGTGCCTGCTGTGCACTGACTATTAAAACAGGTAGTGTCTCCTAAGGGACAGCTTTTTCTGAGTAAGTAAGACTCAGAGACTCTGTACCTTTTGCTGACTGCTTAGCACCCCACACCCATAACAAAATGTCACCTGGAGCCTCAGGAAAAGATATACAGGTAGTGTCACATAATTTGTGCTAACTTGAAATGAAGTTGGGTGCGTTTGTGTAGCACTTTGAAGTGAAAATTAATTTACAACTTTATGATCTTGCCTGTTTTGGGGAGCTTTTGATGTATTTTAGAACTGGTGTTTTGGGTTTGATTCCTAGGAAATGGATAGCTATGTCAGAGAAAGGGCTGCGGAGCTGTTGGAGCCTGATTATTGTTCATTCTTGTCCTCCCTCTTTAAGACTATTGTCATCCAGGCTTAAATCTTGAATGCTAAGTCATTCCAGTGTTACAAAGGCACTAATTGTACTGGCAGCCCTCTTCTAGACACCACCCCCCAACCTACCAAACATACAGACCTCCCTTAAAAAGTCAATCAGAAAGTAAAGACATAAATGGGTAAAATGTCCTTCTCCTCCAGAATATTCTTTTTCCCAAAGTAGGATTTTTACTAAACTGTGGGAAGTGACAGAAGGTGGAGGTGGTCTCTAGGGGTTTGCATGTCTTCCTGGCTTGGTGTAAAGCATGCTGAGTTACCTGGGTGAGTGGAGGGTCCAGAAGCAGTATAGCTCCATAGTTACAGCACCACTTCTAGACTAAATACATAGTTTCTTAGCAAAGCTAAATTTTCATGCACGATGCTGCATAAATACAGCTTTAGGTCCTTTACTGGTTCCATCCGTTTCAGGTGTACAGTGTGCAGTTCAGGGTTGTAATGCATAGCAGCCAAAAGGAACCCCCAGAGTGAATCCAGAGGTAATAAAGTATGACTTGGACTTTCCTTTTTTGTGGTCAGCAGGAGTAAGATTTCCTTTTTCTTTTAGCTTTGGTCATGTAAAACTTCCTTTAATTGCCTGGGTAAAGATACCTAATATGAGCCTCGGCTTTAACAGGTAACTAGTGGGATGGTAATCAGTGTGGCTGTTTCTGCTTGTCTTTTTAAAGTATGTGTCTGCTAATAGAACAGAGTGAATCTGGTTTCTTGAGGTTCCCAGTGCCCTTCTGGCCCCCGGCCTGCGGCCAGTGCCAGCGTCCCTCCCTTCAGTCTCTTTCAGCGGAGCGGGAGCAGCAGGACAGCAGCACCCACTATGCGGATGACCCTTGGAGGATAACGGAGGAGCAGCGAGACTACTATGTCAACCAGTTCAGGTCCCTGCAGCCTGACCTGAACTCCTTTATTTCAGGTAATTTTTACCCAACACCGTGCGTGTTGAGTATAGGGACCAGGCTGAGAAGTGTTAAGTAGGTAAATTAATTAGTTTTTCTCTCTGTAGTGAGTTTATAAGAAAGGGTTGATTGTGTTTTCTCTTTAAAGGCAGACAACTCAAAAGAGCAAACCAGTACTGTGGCCATTGTATTTTTTCCTAAATGTCTTGATTTTAGAAAAATCCTTGCATCTAAGGGAGAAGTGTTGGCAATTCAGTAAAAGTTGAAATGAGCTCTCTGTATTTTATCCATGATATTTATGAATCACACCTGCAGTGTATATTGAGCTGAAAAACCTCTTAGGATTGTGCTTGCTTTCCCAGCAGAAATGTGTCAGTGTCCGTGTGATGAAAGTGAAGTGTGCGGTTAACTGTCCCGTGTGGTCAAGCTGGAGTGTTTATGGCTCTGAGGGACTGAGATTTTGGTGATTAAAAGCAAATCCTGGAGAGCACACAGGTGGTAACAGTTTTGTTAACAGCATATTGAGATTACATTTCCATCCTGAATCGGAGTATCAGGCTGCTCCTGAGGGGAGCTGCTGTGGGTACAGACAGTTGGTCTGGCAAAGTCTTAAGTTGAGGTGGGTTTACTGAGCCCTGCTGTATTACTGGGCTTCAGGAGGCTTGGGCCAGCCAAAAGTTTAAATAAATTACCTGGTGCTGACAGAAATTAGTGTTTTGCCAGTTCTTTGCCTCAGTTAAGCCTCCTCCACAGAATTTGCTTGAAAGAGAACATGGTTGTTCAACAACATTGTATTTCCTCACTGACTTATATATGTGTATATGCATGTATCCTGTATACATGCATATAGAGGCTCTTGGGTAGTTGTGCACTTTTCTTTATGTTGAGCAAGGTTCTTGGGCAGTCCTTGCCCATCCAGAATTACTGTTTATAAATTATAAATGTGAGCTTCCACAACATCCTAAAATAATTAAGCTTGCTGCAGGGCGATAGAGATGCTAGAGGTTTACCCAAATTTAAGAAGTTATTTGAGAAATCTGTGATTGAAAAATCTGTCAGAAGTTATTGAATATTTAAGTGCTACCACTGATTGAGAAAGTTCCTGAATCACAGGGGTGATCAGAGGTTGGAGGATATTCTGGAGCTACATTATTATGATGTGGCTTTGTTATGGTCACGCTCTCCTCTCTTGGCATCCGGTGTGGGAGAGGACATGCTGTGCTAGGTGAGTCTTAGACCTGCCCCAGCGACAGATTTTCTTACGTACTGCAGTGGGTGATCTGACCTGAATGCCCAAGGGCAAGAGGACTATAGACTTAGAAGTCTGTGTTTTATGTTGCCTTACATTTTGTAAGCCAGTATCCCAGAGGGGCTTCCAAGGTACCCCAAATAACCTTGGCATGTGAAGAAGTGGATTTGTTAGCTAGAAGAAGAATGAGAAGGGCTGTAGTGGCAGGGTGAGTGAGGATGCCTGCAACAGGACAGTAGCTATATGCTATCTGAATCTCCTGGGGTAGTTTTTCTTTTTGGTTTTTTGTTTGTTTGTTTTTTTGATAAAATTGGAGCCACTACAGGGAGAAGTCATGGTTGAAGCAGCATCTTGGGAGAGCAGTGCAGATGCTACAGCGCTGTAGTGCCACATATATGGCTTCTGGGTGAAGCAGAGCCGTTTGTGTCTGCTCTTTCATCATTGATGACTTACTAATTATGCTGGTTAGAATCACTAGTGCTAAAGTGTGTTTTCCTTTATTTGTTTTTCTGATATGGAGGGAATGGGGAAATGAGGTCAACAGCTCTGTCTGGCTTTCTCTGTCACTTATTCAGCAAGAGACAAATGGTCCAACAGTTATATTAGCATCCAGTTAATCTGAGTGTCTCTTGGATGTAAGGTAACCAGCTGCTGCTAGCGCGACAGCCCTAGCCAAAGGTAAATAATTGGAGAATTAGTTTCCAATGGTTGATAAGGCATGGTTTCCCAACAGGTTCCGTGGCAAAGAATTTCTTCACAAAATCAAAGCTGCCCATCCCGGAGCTTTCTCACATCTGGTAAGTACTGTAATAGTGTTGGGGATGTGTATCTTGTTTTTTTAAAAGATGCCTAATTCAAGAGTTCTTGTTAAATTTTGAAAAGTGTCTTCAGTTATAATTATTTCTCTTATCTCCAGAATCACTTTCAGGCCCAAGCAGCAGGGTTCTCATTGATCTTCCCGACACGCTTGTTTTCTGGAGAGATGTTCGCCTACTCAGCAGGACTGGGAAGGTTTGAACAGAGATATAACCGAGAGCTGTTCTTAAGTATATTGTAAGCAACATCATTAGCTCAACAAACTGACATTTTTCATGAAAAAACACAGAGGAGAGCACCTCTGGAATGTTTTAGATGTGCTGTTGGGTTTATGTTTCTGGCTGTGTTTTGTCAGAGGAGGCCTAATTAATGCCTAATTTTTAGTAAGTACAACTACATAATTCATCAGTGCTTTTCTAATGAACCAGTACACTTACTTTTAATGAGCTTATTTAGAAATGATTGCAGATGGAACTGTACATGATAAAATTTGACAAGGATTCTATTATATTTTCATAAACACCATGGTGCTTTGTAGTTCAGCGTCATCCTTACATCTCAGATAGGAAGAACAAACAGTTTTAAATGTTGATCAGAAATGCTGATGGAGGTTTTACTTTTATATATGCTTTTATGAAGAGAGATGAGAAGAAAAGCTTGCAAGAGCCTAAACATCTGTTGGGGTCAAAGAATATGTCTGGAATCTTTTCAAAGCGGATTGTCAGTTGGGAAAATAAAAAAACCCAAACAACTGAAGAAACATAGTGTTGGGGGAAGTGAATATTGGAATTTAAACTTAAGCTTACTGAAGAAAAATGGATTAACCCACTATGTTAACAAAACACATTTTATTTCTACTGTGGATGCAAGTTATTTTCTGGGCAAAATTTAAAGAAAAGTATACTTTGCTAGTAGATAACTGTAATTTTGTGATGATGTGATTTTTCAGGTTGTGTTGCTGTGTTAAACACATAGGGTATTTCAGTCTTTGTCACTATAACCTCAACAGCTTGAAAAATGCTTATTATTACTTTGCAAGAGTAGGATGTATTATGTTTATTTATTTTAGTCCATGTACTTGTGATAAAATATTACTCAATTCTTGCAAAAAGTTAATTTATAAAGTTGAATTCTTGAATTTCTGAAGTGCATTTTTAATGTTTCAGAACCATCCTAGAATTAAAGGGAGGACCACTTCAGTGTGAAGTTAACAGTAACATTTAAACTTGTCAAGAGCATTAATTTGGCTCTTTCCTTGAGGCTAGTCAATGGTGCTAGGTAACCGTTGCTGAAGTCCATTTTTAACTTTTTTTGATTGAATTGTTTTGAGATCCTGCATGGATTGTCCAAAAGTGCTTCCAACCATTGGAAAGTTAATTTCACCCTTGGAAGTACAGGATATGTATTTCATGTTACAACATACACATACCATCATATTGTACAGTATGATGTATAACAAAAAATGTACTTTATTAAAACAGAAAAAAGTGACAAGTCAGTATTAGAAAATGAGCTTGCTTCCACTTCCCCGAGACAAACGTACGAGCTAGGATCAAGTGCAAATGACAGAGATGCTTGTCTTGTATTAAAATACCCCTTGTCAACGTTGCATTTCTGCCTCCCCTGTGATTGCATGCGTTATGTTTCCCTGAGGTAGCGGCTTGCGAAAAGTGTGCCTGTTGTACCCACAGGGAGCTGAGTGACGTGGATTGCGACGGGGCACTGACACTCCCGGAGTTTTGTGCCGCCTTCCACCTCGTGGTTGCGAGGAAGAATGGTTACCAGCTGCCGGAGAAGCTGCCGGAGACGCTGCTGCCAGAGTACCTTCAAGCAGGTAACGTCCCTGCGGCAGGTCGTGGTCCTGTAGCCATCTCAGAAACCCAGTGTGCACGTAAGGTTTCATTTTCCATCCTGCAGGTAGGACGGGGTTCTACGCTGGGTAATGGCTCTCCAGTTGCTTTTTAATGCATGCATTTTTAATTGTGCTTACGAGGTGAAGGCTGAAGAAGGGCTATATAAAAGCCCAAAGTAACGATGCAAAACATAGCAGTTACCTGCCTCTTAACGTCTGCTTCTTTGCTCCAGTGTGCTTCAGGTGCCATTATAGCTAAAGTGGCAGATGATTGCCTGTAGCAAAGATAATCTAACAAGACTTACATGGCTTTTAACTCTTTTGCTGATTTTTCCCTTAAGTATCTCTTTCTTGAAGATGTGTTGAAAATGATACTGGACAGTTTTAGAACTTCTTATGTTAATATATATTGTTAGATGCAGTTACTGGTTGTATCAAAGGTTGAATTTTTTTGTAATTCATTTTATGTAATCCACAGAATCTTCTGTAAGTAACTTGCAGTAATGACGGGGGGATTACAACAGTTTGTGTAGCACAAGAATGAATTAATCCAAAATGTAATGTACAGTAACAATGTGCAGTGAGAGACCTGCCCTTTCATTTGTTCTTTTCAGTTTTGTCTCTTTTAATTATAAATGAACATTGAAATATATACTGTTCCATCTAAAAAATGTGCATGACTTTCTAGGGCAAGGAGGATTAATCACAGATGATAATTACAGTGCTAAGGGATAATATTTAAGACCTAATAAAATCTCCATTAAATTTGATGACACTGACTATATTAAAAGACAGGAAAAGAGCAAATCAAGCTGCAGTTAGGAAAATTAAATGTTCACCCTGTATCAGATTTGTGAAGTAATTTCTGGTGGAGTCATGTTCCTTATAATCCACTATCTTCATATCCAAAGCGAGAAGCTCCTGTAAAACCTGCACTTCTAAGTCTTCATCACTTTTAGTCTCTCTAATTACATTCCCCTGCCGGTACTACAAGTACCCTTTTCCCTCCAGGACCACCACTTTGGTCGCTACTCTTGCTCCTGTTCTGATAAATTAGCTTGTGAACTCCTCCATGCAGGTTCATGTTGATGTGTCTTCACATTAAGCCTTTTTGGGTAAAACTGCGATGGAAATAACTATCTATAGTAGTAGGGAATCATTATATCAATGGGAGGAAGAGCATGGTAAGCTGTGGTTGTTTGCTGGGAGTCCTCTTTTTTCCTAATTTGTCCCTTTCAGCACTGGAGTCTTTGCCATTTTCTTAGATGATTATTGTTTGATTGTGTTGCACACAAGCAAGCGCTTCAAGCTGATCTACGCGGAAGAGCTGAAGTGACTAATTAGCTAATATGCTAATTCTGGTTAGCTTGAGGGTCTGAAAATGTCTCGAGCTTGTTCTGCTACCTAGCCAGGATTCAGAAATCTCTCTTTTGAAAGACTTGCATTAATAAAACGCAGAACATCTCAATATGCTAACACCATGAATCACAAGAAAGTTTAGAGCCCTGGTTGTGTCAACTTCTGAAATAAAGCATTTGTTAAGTAAGCAAGTGCCTCATACACTTACCTAAAATGTCAAAAGAAATTTTCAAGAGAAACTGTTTGTTTTCATGTTTTCGTAATTTGATTTCTGTGAAACTTAATTTATTTCTAAAAATTTTTTTTTTTTGGCTTGTTAGGAAGTCAGTGAAGATTACTGGAAACTGTTTTTCATTAGGTGGTTGTATAGTTTCAGAATGAGGCAGACTTTGGTTCAAATGAAATATTTGCATCTGATAAGAGTGTTAAAGCTTCAATTAAAGTGACTTGGAGCATAAGACAGAGCATTTAAGAATGAATGCGCTGGTCTAAATGCTATCCTGGCACAGCTCCATTGACAATTTGACCCACCACCTTTTCTGAAAGTTTTTATTAAAACTAATTTGCAGAATCTGTAAAGGTATTTGCCCTGTATGTAACCCACTGTACTGTAAATTAAGACAGATTTGGAAGAGCTTAATTTATTCAAAAAAACTAGATGCTAGCCAGAAACTAGTAATTTGATGTGAGAACTGATCATTCTGCCTTTCAATATATCCATCTTTAAGAAAAGCTGTTTTGCAGCTGTTAAGGCAGATTTATCTCAGAGGAACTAATCCCAGAATGATATCAGCAGAAGGACCTGAGCTTGTGGAATAGAAATGAGGTTCTTGTGACTATTCCTATGAGAAGTTAGAGTTGGTTTTTCCCCACTGCTTTTTTTTTCTCCGTGCTTTTAATGCTGTTTCATTAAAAACAGTATATACTGCAAGCATGTACCATGTTTAGTGTCCTTGCTTTTTTGCTGGCCTTCAATTCTAGTGTATAATGTAGATTCTACTATACTTTTCAGTATTCAAAATGTCAAAAATTGGTGTTGAAGGCTTGGTAAATACCTTTAACATTCCTAAGACAGCAAGGTATAAATATATAAGGCCAACTAAGTTGATGCTGGACTGGGAGAAGGAAGAATGCAAATCAGTGGTTGGTTTTTGGTAGCTGATGTTTGCTAAGAATCACTTCTCCCAAATTCCACAATTATTTCTACAAAAGAAGTTACACAAGCTATCCCTTTCATGACATTGACTTACTCAAAATACAAGATAGAAAAATGTTCTTCATGATGTTTGTCATCTGTGGCTTATAGATCAGTTCTGATGTGTAGAAATGAAGGGCAAAATGATGCTGAAACAGGTTTTTAAGAAGTGTATGTTAACCAAAGACTTGGCGTGTCTCTTTCTGGTTTTGTTCTGTTTTTTTTTTTTTTTTCTTTCTTTTTCTTTCCCCTGCAGCTTCTTTGAAGCCCATGCGTGACTGTGCACTATTTGATTCTTATTCTGAGTCATTGCCAGGCGGTCAGCAGACTCGGGACTTCAGTCGGACGGAGGTGAGAAAGCGTAAGCTGGGTAGTTACCTGGCAGAGTGCAGAGGAATAGGCCAGCCTCACAATGACTATGGTATGCGTAGCAGCTGAACTGTGAGTCTCTGAGAGGACTTCAGGAGTCTCTAAGCTTCCCATTAAGTCATCTGAAACCCCTCTCTCAGCAATTTCTTCGGTGCATGGAAAGGTCTGACAGGCTTTTCAAAAGATATTCCCACGTAACAGAGTTCAGTAGACATCGAGGGACTCCAGCCTTGTGTGATGTTGGAGTCTGCAGGGAAATACACCTTACCTGTTCGAGTCCCGTGGGGCTGCGTTTGGTCCTCTGGTGTTGGGAGCCAGCCATGAGGGGCAGAGCCTGTGCTGCAGGAGGGGCAGTGTCAGTGACTACAAGGACAGTAGTCAGGTGAAATATCTCCCGAATTAGAATTGGTTGAAAACATGAAGCTTAAGGCGCAGACCTTGTTCTAATCAGGCATGCCTGACTGTGTAGCTCTTGAGTCTTTCTTCCATTTACAGTGCTCTGTTTCCACACTCACTTCACCAGTTTTGATGATGAGAAGAAGAATGCCTTGGCTTGTCCTGATTCCTTGTACTTTTGCTTCTTTGGAGGCTGAAACCATCCCGGATTTTGTACAGTATGGACATGCATAGTTCTGTTCTAAGTGATTTAGTCTCCCACTTTAGTGTCTAGTCTTATCTAAGGTATAGTTAGTGATTGTAAGGGGCTGGGAAGAATGTTTTGTGGGAAAAATAGAGATCCATTGTAGCGATATCACAAGAGATACCAGCCTTGTAATGAAAGGCTGTTGCGAGCAAAACTAAAGTAAGCAGAAGAGTTTATCATGGAGGTTATAAAGAGAAAATTTAAAGATCCTTTGAAGCTGAACTAACCATGGCCACTGAGTTGTGCCTGGATGTTGCAACTCTGAATATAAAGGTTTGGTATTTAAGGTAGTGAATCAAATGGCAGACTGACTGCAAGAATGGGCCCTTCCAAGTTAAAAAGTAAGGGTATGTCATGGCAGCTCAGCAAGGCAGTTCTCCAGTTACTTCCTCCCTATGCCTTGCTCTGGGGAATTCCTGGGTCAGAACTCAGCTGTTCCCTCGTCAAATTCAGCTCCGTAGCGGTACCACCAAACAGACTCTCCTAAGCTGCTGCAGAGTGCGACGTTCACTGTGGGCAATGCTGCAGCCAACGCTTTGAGCATCCAGTTTGTCTTTTGGAACTGTTTGCACGCATGCGGTCTCCCTGAGGGGTATTGCTCTTTGTACAGCAGCTTGGCCAAAGTACAGCAGTTGTGCTGGATTTTGAAAGCAGCGCTGCTCTTCTGCTAGCGGGGGCTGCTGCTACGTTGGCAGTGTAGTCAGGTCCTTTACCGTAGCAGAACAGCCTTGTCCCTTGCATATGCCCTGATTTTGGGAGGGTGGTTCACAGGGGGTTGCAAGACTGTGCCGCAGGCCATGCTGTGCTACCACTTCTTCAGTGTGCGGTTGTGGGGCAAAGCTCCACAGTCCCTTGAGAGTGTGCCTTGTTAGCATATATGCGTATTGATTTGCAATTTAAACAAGCATAAGAGGCAAAATTCAGGGCGATTTGCATTGAAAAATCATTTGCTGATGTCAGCGTGTATATGTATGTGTATACATAACTCCTTTTCCAGACTGCAGTAAGAGTCAAGTGAGTATTTGAGTTAACTCACTGCCTCAGCATAAGATATTAGTTTTTAGAGAGAATTATTTGTCTGCTGATTAAAAACGGTCATATCCCTGCAGATGTTTTTTTATTGGTAGGCACGACCCCTCAGTGTCAACTTCTGGTTTTCACTTGCATTTTCATATGCGTATACAGATACACATGCATATATGGAAAAAGATAGAATATATAATTAAATTATATTAACACCATAAATATATAGTTACATATCTTTCATACACATAATTAAAAAGCTTCCGTTTATGTAAAACTTCTTGACTTCCGGATCTGCTTCAGTATCTCTGTGGCCTAGAGAGTCCTTGTTTTTGTTAGGAAGCTGGCTTCACAAGTGGTTACCCAGGTATGCAAAGTGGTCTTTGGTTATTGCAGAGTTGTGAGGAAGTTTGCTCTTTATTAGCACAGCCTTGGGACTGTGAGATGAGAATGTTCTTTTATATATTTCAGAAAGCTCAGAAGTCTTGCTTTCAGAGTCATCTTGTGTTTCTTAGAAATAAAATGTCATTTCAATAACCTAACCAGTACCATTTTATAATCTTATTAAATGTCTGGGTTTTAGGTTTTTCTTGTTTGTGGTCCTTGAGTATATGTGCAGAGTAAGGCTAAATCTATGAGGAGATGATTTCCTAAGCAATTAAATTATATGTTTTTTGCTTTTTAGGTTTTTCTGCTGCAGTGGAGATGATAATAGTAGGAATACTGTAGTAATAATTAAATAGCTGTAGAGCATGTACAGCAGAAAATGTAAAAAACCCAAACAAGCAATAAATCCCCCATTTTATGTTTAATTTTAATTGAATTTTCAGCAGTTAAGCTTTCAGACCTCTTCTGCCTTATCTCTGCGCTCTCCTCCTGAGGCATTCTCACCATAACTGCCAATAACTTGCAGTTTACTGTGCTGTCTTTGTAGTCAGATAGTGTTCTTGGGAAACAGCTGGATCTTCTGCTCCGTTCCTAGGTTCTGCACGGTGGCAGAATGTTCTGCAAAATCAGGGTGTTTTTTATGGCTAGGTTGAAAACGAAGAAGAATCTGCAGCACGATTACCTGCTGGCTAAGCACAGATAGTATTTCCTGACTATATCACAATGGTTTGACTGGTTTTGCTCCATTTCTTTACTGTCCTAGACATGCAGGGCAAAGCTCTCAATTAGTTTGTTTCAGGGCCTTATTATTTTGGTCCTTTGTCATCCAAGATTAATGGACTAGAAAATTTCATCTCAAAACTGATTTGAGTATGATTTTGACTTTTTTTTTGTTCTTCAACTGATATTTTGATGTTCAGAATTAATCCGCTGAATGAGTATCTTTTAGAAGGTCAGTAATTCGTCTCCCATTAATCTCTCTCTGTGGGAAGTTCAGTAATTCAGTGTTGCAATTTAGTTTGTAGCTTGGCTACTTGAGGAAATAGTATAGATACTTGATCACTACATTAAAAATATTAAATTATCAATGCAGTCTGTTATGCATTATCTCCATGTCTTTGTCTCTTTCCACCTGTCATCCATTCTGGCTGTTTAATTTAATTTCAGAAGAACCATTTTTACTGTGACTGCTGAACTACAGTGCTGCAACACAATGGAAACAGTTCTTGAGTGCATCTGTAAAGACAATAATGTCAGGAGACAGGTCACCTGAATGCTGGGCTTTGTTAAACTTAAAAAACGCACAAGGACTGAGAATGACAAGGGTGACTGCTTTTTGTTAACCAGGGAGGTTTTGTCTTTCCAATTTGTTTTCTCAGGTTTTTGTCTCCCACTCTGGTTCTGGCTTTTTTTTTTTTTTTTTCCTCTCTCTCCATTCCTTTGGCTCTTTTCCACAAGCTTTCTCACTGCCAAAAGCTTAAAGATAAAGCACAAGATTTCGCACTATATGCATAAAATGATTGGCTGGGGTTGCTCTAAACTCTCTCAGAAATGTCATTTTTACAGTTCATTGAAATTTGTGAGAGCCATTCCGTTGATTCAAGCACGCACTGAATTAGGTCTTTAGTCTGACGCTCTTTTCTCTTCACTTTAGAGTGTCAGGGCTAGCTATGGGTGTGAAGCATTTTGTTGATACATTTTCAGAGTCCTCAAGCCATGTTTTTGCTATGTTGCTTCCTCAGAAGCATTAGGGAATCCCACATGCGACTATATAAAGCAGATATCATAGCCCTTTACTCTGGACTTGGCCTTATTGAATTACTGACTTGATATTTTTGGTTGGTGGTTTTTTTGTCTTATGTGTGTGTTTTGGTTTGGTTTGGTTTGGTTTTTTTAATGTCTACAAAGTCTGTGTTTCTGAATTAATTTTTTTAGGCCCAATGGATTTCAGGCCATTTTTAGTCCAACCTCTTCAACGCTCCATGGGGAAAAACCCAGCATCATTTAATATTTAGTGAAGCTTGGAGTTTTTGAAGTTCACTTTATTGTTGTTTTGGTTGCAGAGTGTATCCTTGTTCTTACAGATAATAGAGGTAGAATTTGTTCCTGGTTCCTTCTTTTGAGCTGCACAGCAGAAGTTACAAGAACAACAAATGCCTATAAGTCTCTGCTGAAATAAAGAAAAGTTAAGGAGTAAGACTGGGGAGAAGTTCCCTGTTTTCCCATCAGAGGCCTGAATGGGCCTCCAACAGACATGCTAATAAAATTTGGTTTTCGGTCTCAATGACTGCATGTTGAAAGAAAAGAGTTGTTCAAGGATCAGCTGGCTCAGCCAGAAGTCTTTAAATGCAGAACTACTGGGTTCTGCAATATGGCTGGAGTTTTGGCTAGAGAGGCTGTTCTGATGAAGAGTGACTCTTGTGAAGGGGCTGGAGAAGGTTTCCTCAACCCTAACACTGGTGTTACACCCAAAGAGAAAGGAAAACATAGAATGACATTGCTCTGTTGTGAGAAGTCTCTCCTTGCATATAGTCTTTAGCTCCTTGCGATTCGCTGTTTAAATGCTTCTCTAACTAATTTCAGGTGTACCTTGAAAAGCAGAGTTATATCTGACAAAGCAAACTGTGATGCTTTTATTTGTGTTGATCTGTGTTCTTAAGTACTTGACTGTGGAAACGTGCAAGCTATACCGATCAGTATAATAAATAAATCTTCTTTCTTTAAGGAGACATCAGTTGAAGAGGTACCTGATAACTCTGCCCTGTTACAAGATGGAAAGAAAGATAACAACAAACAAGGTATTCAGATAAATAACTTTTTTTTTTTTTATTACAGGTTAAATTCTATGTGGTTTTAGTAATCCTATATATTTGCTGACAGAAGCAATGGTATGTTTAATTTCTAAGCTGGCTGTGTGTGGCTGTAAATTCGAAGACAACTCATTGACAGCTGAGTTGAAAACAAATAAGTGGATGGGTTTGCTTTCAAAGTAGTTCTGTCATATGTGAATTGTGAATAATATGAAAGGCACCTTCTAAAATCTATCTAGTCCTAAGGCAATTAATGTTGCACTTATTTTAACAAAGTTGTAATTGTTGTTACCACAACTTTTGTAAAAGTAAAAACTACATTGTGCCAAATTTTGGGTTCCCCTTTTTGCAGGAAATAGCAACACTTCACAATTAGTTTTTATTCCTATTTAAAAAATTATCTGTATTTTCTTGGAAAACAAAAGTTTTGGACAAGCTGGATGGAAAAGACTTGATTCATATATTTCATTTGAAATCCATCAGGAGCAAGCCCTGTGAAACTGAAGTGATCTTTTTCCGTGCAGTAGCTTCTAGGGCTTCCAGAATCGGCACTGGATCACCACACAGTCATTCATTCCCTTTTATATTCCCTTTTCCCAGCCTTTCAGGTTCTCACTTGCTGTCCCTGAGTTGTGGAAACAAAACAGTTGTGGGTATTTTGTTGTCTGATTCTCAGAGCTGTGGATTACACATTAGTTAAAAAAAAAAAAAAAAAATAGATCTTGACCTCCCAGCTGTCCACATGTTAAGGTTGCATCAAAGCTGTGAGACCAGGTAGTCCACATTCCTGGATCACCTTCCACACTCAGGTGTGACCAAGTTTGGCAGATTCCCAGTGTCCCTGCTTCAAAGAAAGGTTGTCAGAGCTGATGGGTGTTTGTAAAACATTTTGACATGTCAGCATATTCCGATAGATTAATGTTTTGTTGACAGGGTTTGTTTTGCTGTAAAATTCATAATGAACTGGAGAAGAACTTGAACCTTGAAGGTTATTGCTTTGAAACGTCTAGGGAAGATATACTTTTTACTAAGGCAATTTTTTTAATCTTTGCTGTTTAGGTGAAGAACTTGTGCTTTGCTTTTTGTAGCTGACATGTTAAGTCAGATGGGACGTTGTTTTGGTACACGCAGGGCTGAAGATTTACTGTATTTGACACAGATTCCTGCCTTTTCAGCCAAAGAACAAATGCTCGTGTTTTACCATTTATCCTCATGAATGTAAGAGCAGATCTCTCTTCTGACTGAAGAGATCTCCCCAGCAGTCAAGAACCTGTAGTTCAGGACTGTAGAAACAAATTTTCCTGCATCTTCAAAACTACACAAGTAGATTAGCTCAACCTGTCAGATTATAATATAGTTAAATATGGAACATAATGTAAATAGAACTGGATCATGAGAACCAGACTTTCCCCACGTATTTTATTTGATAAAGGCAGATGGAGATGAGAGACTTAATTCCAAGTGGTCATTTATAATACTGTGTATTACAGTATATTATAATACACTGTAGTGCATTAAGAAGGCCTTAAGAGAAGTCACTAATAAAGGATGTGTAGGCATTGGTGGAAGGAGAATAAGCAAAGATTGGGATTTCCTAAATTTTAACCCTGGCTCTGTTGGTGCCATATGACGTTCACTGGGGCAGGTGGGTGAGGTTTCAGTTGCCAGAAGCAGCCAGTCTCTTGGGTGCCCTGGCTTTCTAGGTTTGTAACTTGGGAGAGATGAGTCTCAGCTCTGCTAAGTGTCACCAGCTGCTCTCTCTGTGAGCGTGCTACGTCTCTGAAACAGAAGTCATCCTTGGTTTTAGGCATTCAACCCCCCAAATTATCAAAATTTGAGATTATTTGGCAACTTGGGCATAGACCTTTCTGTTCTTCTCTTTTGTACTCTTAGAAATTGTTACTTTTTTGAATGCTTGGGTGTTCTGAAGGTATTTTACTGCTTTTTAAGTATGCTCCTCGTTATTAGAAGTTCTAACTAATGCTAGTTTAGATGCTCCTTTCTCAGAGCTGATACCTGTAGATTTTACCTGCACATACTTGAAATAATTCTAATTGTTTCTTTTGTTGTTGTTGTTGTTTTTTATTAAGCTCTTAAAGTAAGCACTGCTCTCAAAACGATACCAAAGGAATTTCAGCACTTGACTGTGAAAACAGGTAAGAAGAAAAAAAATTTCATTTGTTACTTCCATTATAATTTTGATCAAGTATTTTTCTATCACAATAAGCCTAAATGAGTGTAATTTGATTAATTTTTTTAAAGAACCTTTTGATCTAATGCTGTTTTACTATTGAAATTAGCTTTTGCCTCATAATGGCTAGTGGTTGCAAGATAAATATTAATTACTGCTTCAGGTTGTTAAAAGATTTTCGTGCTTTCTTTCCTTCATTGTTACTGTATGTGTTCTTCACCTGTGGGAAGTGTTTTTAACGTAGCATTTTTTAAGGATTCTGAAGTTTTTCTGTGCTACAAATAAGATGCAAGAGCACAAATAATTGTATCTCTTGGTAAAACCACTTCTAAAGTGTTGAATAACTATGTGATGTTTCAGTAACTATTCTGAAATGGCCTGATTCTTTGTGAAAACTGAGCCTTCATATTTTCTGTCCAGGAGTTTAAGGGTAGATAGATAGCCTTTTGGCAACACAGACCTTGAGGCATTTTCATCACTGATGCAAGCTCTTGATTCGGGGGGATGTTTCTTTGTTGAAACCACCCCTGATTTTTCTCTCTCCAGCTCCAACATACACCTCTTGTTCCTGTGGTACTGGAAAATGTTATTTCTGGAACAGCATGTGTCAAAATTACTTAGTTTCTGCAGAAACTTTCCATGCATTTAGTTCAATTCATCAGACCTCCCTTGCTTTCTGCTTTGTTAATATCTTTCCTAGAGTGGTAAAGAGTGTTTGCAAGCCCTGGTCGTGGTCAAGCTAAAATCCGGACTTGCTTTCCTTTCCTTTTGCGTAAATGTTTTTACTTGCGAAGATATTCTTTATTAAGAAAACTGACCCCACGTGTCTGTCACAGCAGTTTTGTCTTGTAGCTCCACTTATTCATGGCTGCTCAACAGCTGCATGCCTCATTTCCCAACTCTTTTTTTTTTTTTTTTTTTTCTCCTGGCTTCTTCCCAAACACTTGGCAGCTGCCAGGTTTCCTATCTTCAGCTCCTATTCTAAAACGATTGCTGCTTCTCCTTCACACACACACACTCTTACACTTCCCTCTCAGAGGGAGAGAAGGATGCTTGCAAGACTTTCAGTTCTATTCTCCTCCCTGCCCCGGTTTTGCCCAGGATCACCCCAGGGAGTTTTATTTTCAGTTCAGTAAATCTATCTTCTGTACACTTAGGAAAAAAAACTACTGTCACCTGCCCATCTCCTTTGCCACCAACCTCTTTTCCCCATGTTCTTCATCTCATAGTCAGGGAGATCTTCCTGATGCTGCTGTGCTCCTCCAGAAGCATTGCTGTGTTTACATGCCGTTGGGCACAGGGGCAGAATTTCACCCCATTGTCATGATTCCTGTCGTTGTAGACGTTTGACCGTTGTTGTCCTGCACGTTGAGGGTTTGAGTGGGCACATTATCAGGTTGCGTGATACGATTGATGTTAGAAGTAAAAATGTTTATCTATCCAGTGGGCTAGCTACAGCACAGTAATTAAGTGGTTATTTCAGAATCAGTCACCGTTCTGAAAGGTCATTGTAATCATTAACCTTCGGGATAAAAACTCAGTTGGGATGAAGTGGGAGAAATTTTAAATCCTTCTTTGGTTATTCATTTGGGCTGTTTATGTAAATTCAGGAAAGATGATACTACTGTGCTTCATTTTGGGAAAGTTTTCTTTGCCATCAGAAGGACTAGAAATTTGAAGCCAGCGAAAACTTCATATGCTCAGCTTCTCCGAATATCTGGATCGTTTATGTAGGCTCCTAAGTGCAAGAGCATTGCTGGCCCTAGACATTTAAAGGATTGAGGGCCAAGTTTGCGAGCATTAAAATTGTACATTTCTGCCTAGGCCACCGTTAAGAGATGAGTCAGTGGGGGCGATTTAGACTAGTGGGGAATTCTTTGTTGTTTTTTTTTTTTTCCTTAGCCATGTGGCATAGTTGCACTTTTTATGGTACAGTTTTCTACCCAGTCTTCAGTCTGTAAAGCAAGGAGGCAGCAGCTGAGTATAAGGTGTTAGGCTACAGCCAAAAGTTACTGAATCATCATCCTTTGGAATGTTAAAGTTGTATTAGAAGAGAGGCGTGGGAGTTAAACATCAAAAACGGGAACCTTCACGCTCTCCTGTGAATGAATAAATAAGAGCTCATGATCATATATGACTTTAGTGCAGACCAAGCTGTTGAGTTTATCACGCTTTACTGCTCCAGGAATTGTACAAGCTTCTAAATAATAGATGTAATTAATTTACCCAACAGCTTTAACGTTTTATCAGTTGCATATGTAACATATATCAGTTAGGCTTATGCATCCATAGCAATAGAAATAACTGGATAAATAGATTTGTATAGTCTTGAATGATTATATTGTGTATGTGTATAAATCTGCACCTCAAACACAAAGTATGCACAGGCTGAGCACATGAAAATAACTGCATGTTTCATGGAAATTATTTGTATGTCCTAATAATGAATTACCTGCTTTGTAATTTTTTTTATATTATACTACTCCTTTTTTGAAAGGTAAAGCTAAGTCTGGGTGTTGTAATTGTAGCCTTGAATTTCCTGATTTTTCAGAAGCTTAAAAGAAAATCCTTGGGAGTAGTATTCCATTGCTATAATTTTTTGTTAGTAGTCACTTTGGGATTCTTTCTTCCTTGTGTGCTTTCCTGTTTACCTCAACAAGATGTCCTTGGAGAGTTTGAATGTCAGTTTTACCTGCAGGTTTTTAGATGAAAGGCTTTCTAAAAGAAGTATGAACAGATTTATGGTCTCCATAAAAGAAGGAAAATTTGAAGTTTCTTAAACATGGCTTAGCTTGGAAACGATTTATACTTCCTATTTCTAAGTGGCATATATTTAATAATTGTGCGTGTAATTTAATAATCAGCAATTTCAGCATTGGAAAAATTGGGTCATATGGCTGTAGGGAAGCAGTGTCTGAAGATGTATTCTCTGGGAGTTTGACAGAGGGAGAGAGGAGGATTATCACCACTGCATATTTTAATAATAATTCCCTCTCCCTTCTTTAGTTGCTAGGAAAATTTTGTTGCATAGAAATATGGAATGACTGTGAGCCAGTTTGGTGGTGACAATAATCTACTAGAACTTGATTTGTAAGTGTCACTGCCAGCTGTATTTGCGTTTATTCCATCCAAAGCACCAACTAGAACTGCGTGACCCTTAAAGCAGTTTCTTTTATGAAGAAATAGTGTGTGGCTATGCATGTGCCATATGCTGCTGCTTGTCTTCTGTGGACCTGAAGCCTCTTATAGAAGGTCTATGCAGTAGTGCAATGCAAGCCATTAAAAAGTCAGTATCTGCCAGCAGCTACCACAGGTAGCTCCTGCTCTGTATTTTGGAGAATCTGTTGTTTTCTCAGGTAGATCTGTATGGTAGCTGGTGATAAATGTCTGACTTGGAAGTAGGCATATATCTGAAGGAAGCTAGAAACTCTGAGATTCCCCACCCCCCCCAACCTACATGCTTCTCTTAAGTGTTGTACCTTGATTAGGAGAATAATGGGAAAAGTACAAGGATTCACTTTGTGTGTGCATTGGGATCATTGATGCTGCTGTACTACCTTGAGGATATCTCAGTGGGCTGAATTTCAAAGCAGTCACACAGATACATGTTTTCTCAAAATTATCTGATGTTAGTAAGGAGAGTAACAGAAAAGTCACAAAAAGAGAGTAACAGAAAAGTCACAAAAAGACTATGTAACTAAGGAACAGCCTCAAGGAATTACCCAGAGAAGTCAGCACTGTTGTTTTCCTATCACATAAAACCTGCACATGGCAGGATATTTGTAATTCATCCAAATAAAAGAAACTGATTTTTACATTGGTAGAAATGTGTTTGATCAACATGTAGCCTGTAAAGCTTTCTACCTTCAAATAGCTTTCCTTCCCAATGTCAGAGTAATCTCAACCTGATGTATTAATATTTTTTTATGAGTCAAGATGATGTACTTTTATACTAATTAGTTAAAGTATTTAGGAAGGACGTAAACCTTTGTGCTTCGGGAAGCAGGGCAACTAATAGATATCTGGACTACAAGCAAGATGTTTTCTGTGGAAAGTTTATGCTGTTTCTTATGTAGCTTTGTCACAACTACACCCAGGAGTACAGGTCAGAGCTGTCAGACCTATTGCTTTTCCTGTGTTCTGGTGACTAAAGTAAAAGGTGAAGCTCTGACCATGTGGGCTTTTGAATTCTTAGGACATTCGCACACTACAAGAATAAAGGGGAAGCAGAAGCGAAAATCAATCCCTGTTGCTCATGTGAGATAAGCATACTCTCACATCTACATTTGTAACACTCACATGTTTAATGAACTGATTCTGCGGCTAAAGGCGTTTATTTAAAATACAATATTTTAGCAGTTCTTTTTTCTTTTCTATTCCAGCTGCTCAGGAATCTAATGCACTTAAACCCAGACCACGATCCAGGTACTGCTTTCATTTCTATTTCAGGAGAAGACATATGTTCCCCTGTGTTAGATACAAGGTATAAGAGCTGGTGTTGCATTTTTTTATTGGTGTGAGGGGTTGCTTTGTTTTGGTTTGTTTTGTTTTAAATTGGTGTTGTGCTGGAAGTACAGCTCAGATCAGACAGATTTACCAGGAGGGATCTGTAAGCTGTAGACCATACATAAGTACTGCCCTAGGGCCCTGTGATCTCTGGTCATAAGGCACTGGGACTTTTGCCTGTCTGACCAGCCCCTTTGCCTTGTCAGGGTGGTGACTGCCTCCAGCCCAGCCCCAGGGGCATTGTGGTGGGACAGCAGGGACCACCCCATTGCAGGGAACATTCTCAGCAATTTTGTGCTGTTGAAACCTGCACAGTGGTGGCATATGGAGGGAGACACTGCGCGCTCCCACAGAAACAGCAATAGTAGCTCAGCTCTCAGATGTGGGTGAGTGAATCCTTTCGTTGGCGTGCGTGTACTTGACTATGGCTGGTTGGTGTGTGATGGAAGGATTTACAGACTGGCACTCTTGTGTGCTAGGAATGACACTGCTGAATTTGGATGGTTGAAAGAAAAGGGAAACCTGTGCTGGAAAATATTGTGTATAGATGGATTATGTGTTGGGTTCGGCTGTTCACCATTCTGGTGTATAGCCATATCGTGAATTCACCTTCAAACTTTTTTTTTTTTTTTTTTGGTCCTCGTTAGAGGGCTTAATTTTTTTTCTTAGGTAATGAGAGTGTAATCAGGGGCTCCCTCCTTACAAGCTTGTCAAAGCCTGCTAATAAGAGAAGATCAGGTGTAAGCATGATGAATGCAGATTGAAATCCTTTGTTCTTAGGACCTATATCCAGGAAGGCTGAACTGCCTCGTGTGCTATTTTTCTGCTGCTAGCCAACACTTTTTAGTTTTCATACTGTTTTAAATTTTCTTGATGTGTTACTGAATCAGAAATTGCAAATATGCAAAAAATGTATTTTGTGCAAAAATGCATAAAATAGCAAATGCCTGCCTGAACAAGTTTGAAAAAAGTCACTTGAATGTGACTGCTGTGTCACATATGACTATCTCACATCTGACTATATGTCACTGCTTCAAGGCAGAAGTTGAGACTACAGATTCCTGAGCACATCCTTGAACTTAGACCTTCTGCTGGGCTTGTCCTGCGTAGCCTGGGGGGCTCTGTAACCCCGAGGGTCTCTGTCTTCAGGTGTGCCTGACCACTGCAGGCTACAATTCGAGTCTGTTACAGTTCTCTGCTCTGGAGCCTGGCTTTCTAGCTTAAGCTGTGCAGATTGTAAGCTGCTGACTCTTAATTTACTTTGAGGTGCCAGGTCCTTCTGCTGCAAGCCAACAATTCACTGTCACAGGGCTCTGTGTTGGCACTGCTGGGGCAGGCATATATTTGCCTCGTAGCTGCTATCTTACTGGATCTTTAAAAAAACCAATTAAAAATCTTGAAATTAGATTGTACAATTTTAATGGAAATAAAATATACACTGCATAATATGGTAAGTAAAAGTATAAAATCTTAAGATCCGGATTCAAAGCTTGCCTGTTTATTTGGGGGGGGATGGGTTAGTCTGATATGATAAGGCTATGGAATTCAAAACTCTACCAAGATAAAAAATTCAGCATCAGCAGAGGTTTTTGTGTCACATGTAAATTTTGAAGCAATTATGGCTTTCACTCCTGTATTTGTTAAAGTTTACATCAGAAACATAGGATCAGCGTTGCCAAATGTCTGTCCTGCTAAAGAGCTGTTTTCTAACAACACCCTATTTGGCAAAAAAACCAATCCGTTTCCCATTAGTGGGAGTTGTTTCTGTTCTACTCAAATGTGTTTTTGGTCTTTGCCTGTCATGCATAATGTGCTACAGTAAGTGTAACATCTCACATTGTCAATGCTCATTTTGAACAAAGCTCTCGGTCTTGCAGAAAAAGTGGTAACTACAACAGCTGAAAAATATTGGACACTATTCAGCAAAATCAAAATTCTTAGCAAATGCACCGCCTTGGGATTAATGTGGTGTGGAAGGGCCTGGAAAGATGTACTGAGACATGTATTTGACCAGTTTTGGCCGCTTTGGAGCCATTCAGTTTTTTTCTGGGTTTTGTGGAATTTGATGACTGTTTGCTATGAAAAATTTATTCTAATAGTTAGAATATTATAAATTACAAAATGTGTACTTGCAAGAGGTAGGTTGAAGCTATTCCTGTATAAACACTACCCTCGAAGTTGGGAAAGGCAACAGAAACTGTAGGGGGGGGCGGAGGGCAGGAATTTTACTCAGGTTTATTCACAATAGTTGCTACAAATATCCTGTTGACAGCAAAAGTTATGTAAGAAGGCCTGAAGCTGTGATATAAAAGGCCTTAAAAAATACTAGCCCTGTAAGCATGACTTGTTCTTTCTTCAGGTGCTTAGGTCCCTCTGTAGCCAAATAAATCTGTCTTGTTATGAGGGGGAACTTTTAGTCATTAGGGCAAGGAATTTCCACCATGAACGTGAGATCTTGTCAGTGTATTTTTAGGTACTGTTCAATGTAGTTGTTTAAAATGAATTTCTGAAATAAAGTATTTTCTGCTTTTTTTTTTTCACTCTCTCTCTTTCCTTAGGTCTTACTCTAGCACATCAATAGAAGATGCCATGAAAAAGGGAGAAGAGCCCCCTACTCCACCGCCAAGGCCACAGAAATCACATTCCAGAGCTTCCTCTTTGGATCTGAACAAAATATTTCAACAAAGCACACAAGGTAAAGTTTGCTTTCTTTCCTTCTTTTTAGACCATTTAGGTTAGCTGCATACTTGATCTGTTTGCACAAATGCTTGACAATATGGGCACATGCTCGCCTTTGCTATAGACAGAAATACACTACAGAACAGAAGAAGTTGCACTTTCTTGCGTTACATCGCCACTGAGGGGAAAAATAACTGTTGCTATAATTAAGGTGATTATAACGTTTTCTGGCACGATAATGGCTTAACATATGGTAGTCTGTCATCACTGACTGTTTATAACTAGTCTGGCTGTTTAGACAATTCTCATCAGTAACTAAAATATATTTGATTTTTATTACTATTTATTTTTTGTAGTTCAGAAGCAGGATGAAAACCCTTAATGTTTAAACTGGGAGAAAATGAAATTTCTCGTGTGCAAACATTTTTGATGTTGAAGTCTTCCATATGCTTGGGGGCAGTCAGAAACCATTCTTTGAGTAAAAAGAAAGGGTAATGTCTTTTGACATGGGTGCATGTTGAAGGGAGAGAAAGAAAATGTAGAATAGTAGCTGGAGTGAATTGAAAGAAAACCTCTCTGCAGTGTGTTAGTGTTTGAACGGTCCTTTTGCCTTGCACAGTGAGTGGTAGAAAGAGGAGCTGCTTGGGCAGCAGTCACCCAGCATTACTGTTGTAGCAGTGTCCTTGAACCAGACCCGAGCTTTATGCGGTGCACACCAATAATCTGATTCAAGGACTGGGTTAAAATATGGTCGTGTTTATGCTTCAGAAGAAATCCAAAGTTTAACTGTGTCAAGGAGTGTTTTAACTGGGCTCTCTAATGTGGTTGTTGGAGTAGAAAAGAAAGAGTTTCACCTCTTGCTGTATGAGACTATTTTTGTGCAAACATCAGGCAATTCAAGAGTCCTGCTATGTGTGCTGAACCCTGAACCTCAATAGAAATAATGCACCCCCTTTAATTTTTTTTCCCTCCTTTTTTTTCTGCCTTACACAGAGAACAAATTCCTGATCTTTGACTGAGATTCATATTCAGGGATCTATTGCCTCCAATTTTGATTTCATTATACATCAAAATAAAACCCAAACTGAGCCAAGTACACATTTTCTAAGGCAGCAAATTCTCTTAGAATCCAGATAAAAAGTATAACTGGAAGGAAATAAACTTGGATTTAAGTTTTTCTTGGAACACAAATGAAAGGAGAATGTAAATTCTCAGTCATTCTGTGAATGAAAAGTAACATCTTGCTTTTGAAATGGGTCGTTTTGAAAGTCACCATTACTTTTGAAGTAACATAACAATTTCTTCTGAGCAACTTAACAAACTGACAGTGTTACAGTGAGTGTGGGAAACGATAACTCATCCTATCAATGCTTTTTGGAGGGTTTCCTCACTGGAAGTAGGGCAAGTAAGTAAGGGTAACCGGTTGATTGGTTGCAAAGAAAGTGCTCTAGTCACCCTTACACTGTCCATCATATTTGGTTCAAATTTACAGCTATTTATAATTTGAACAAAAACTGGCTGTGGGTTGACAAAGCCTGAAGTATAGTGTGCTACCGAACTGCAGAAATGTAGAAGGTCTCCCAGAGGTTCAGCTTCCTCCTGTACCTGCAGGGTTCTGGTCTGTCATTTTTTGCTCTCTTGAATGTCCCCTGCTGGCAGTGCTAAATATTTGTGGTGGTCGTCTTCCTCTAATGGAGCTGTTCTATTTTGTGTCAAAAATGTAAATACTTACTGGGAAAGAACAAGGAAGAACTTGTAGCCTTGAAGAATTCAAGGAAGAACTTGTTAAACAATTTGTAACCCACCCTGAAGAAGGGTTTCATTTCAAATAAACCTGCATCATCAGAAGGAGGGGATTAAATCAACTCATCCCAGTGCACCCAAGCATCATGGTACACTTACCTTGCTCTGCTTTGAAGTAAAATGTCTGCATTGGAAGTCATATTTCCAGCTCTTCGTTCTAGGAAGAAACATGTACACACTCTTCCCTGTCATTAAGCCCTGAATAGTTGTTATCCTATTGATAACATGATTTTCTATATCTGCTTTCTTTTCTTCCACTTACCTTGGTTTGATCACCTCACTTTTTTCATCCTTTTTTTTCATCCTTTTCCCTACTGATCTTGCTCCGACAGTTTGTAGGAAGACAGGGGGATTGAGCACTCATACCTTGAACGGCGGAGCCTTGCTGAAATTTGTGTGCGTGTTTGAGTGAAGTAAATTGCACACAGTTGTATAATAACAAGCTGTATTCTTATTTCTGCTGACAGTATAAAAAAATGAAGTTAGGATAGTTTCCATCTGCTGTCGGATGATACAGTTAGAGTTACAATATAGATGACATGGTGGCAATGTACTATTTCAGTTTCTTGGCTATTTGGATAAAACAGTCTGGCGTAAATATTGAACCTGATGTGTTTCTGTCTGCAGGTCAGTTGATTACTTTCTGTCCTAATGTATTCTTGACTGAATTTTTGCTTTACGTTTTCTCCCTGCCTTCCTTCCTATGTTTTCAAAAATAGT